AGTTTCCTTAAGATTATTATTTTGAATTTCTTTTCAGACATTTCATAAATTTCCATTTCTTTGGGGTCAGTTACTGGAGAATTATTGTGTTCCTTTGGTGGTGTTATGTTTCCTTGCTTTTTTTATGTTTCTTGTGACCCTGTGTTTATATTAATATCTACACATCTGGTGGAACAGTCACCTCTTCCCAATTTATAGAATGGCTTTTGTAGGGAAAGACTTTCACCTGCAGAGGGTTCCTAGTGTATTGGTGGGGTAGAGTTCATTGGTTTTGGTTCCAGGTGGGAACAATAATGTAGTCTCCACACAGCTTCTTCAGCTGTGATCAATGTTAGCAATAACTACAAGTGCTTCAGTGGCCTAGGCTGCAGGAGTTTTTGGCAGCAGTAGTGGTCGGGTAAGTTAGGGTTCTGCTGGGCTGGGGCTCTGAGTCCCCAGGGAGTGCTGCTCTTTTGGGCCCAGGTTCTAGGTCCCCAGATGCTAGGGTGTCAGGAGCCACTGCTACTCTGCTGGACCATGGGTCCATGTCCTTGGGGGTTGGAATGCACAACTACTCTGCTGGGCTGGGGCTTAGGTCCCTGATGGGCTGGGATCTGCACGCTCAGGTGCCAGGGGACATGGCTGCTCCACTGGGCTGAAGCTCAGATTTCTGGGTGGCAGGGCGCTGGGTTGGTTCAGGTGCCAGGGGTGCAGCTGTTTCACTTGGCCTAGGCTCTGAGTAGCCTGGGAATGGGGCACAGCAGCACTGGGATGGGGGAAATTGAGTGCCTCCGAGGCAGCTTGATCCCAGGGGCTAGAGAGCATCAGCACCCCAGCAGGGGAATGGCGTACTACCGTGTGTGCAAACACAGGGCAATGAAGGCAGAGCCTCGGGGATGAAGGGACGCAGTGCTGGCTCCTCTCCCCCAAAGCATCATGCACTCTGGCAGAGGCCCTGGTTTCAAGATGGCAAAGTGCAGTAGCAGCTTGGGCCATGGGGTGGTGAGACACAATGTGAGCTCCTTCTCTGGAGTAGTACAGCCACGTGAGCTCCAGGCAACTCCCTCAGCTGGGCTCAGGGCCTGCGAGGACTGCAGGATTCTCCAGCAGCAAAGACTGCAGGTATCCGCAGCCGTGGTGAGGGCTGCTGGGAACCCCGTTTCCCTTATCCCCACAGCGGGAAGTCTCTCCTGGGTCCGAGCTGATTCTGGGAGTCGGGTGGCGGAGGCAAGTGTTTCTCTATGTGACCATCCTCTGAGTTTTTGTTCTCCACGTGGTTCCCACCACTCCCTTGCTGTACCCTGCTCCAGCGCTCTCCTTTGGTCACTCCGGTTGAAATTTAGCTGTTTATTCATTGTTTTGGTCCTTTCTCGTGGGGAGGATGAGCGTTCGACACTGCTAGTCAGCCATCTTGCTTGCTGATCTTCTTATATGTTTTCAGCGTTAGGGACCCTCAACACGATAATATGGGCAAGGAGTTTAAAAACCTTGAGAGAGTGATATGGGGAGAAAGCCCCCAGCTGCAGGGTGGGGGTTTTATTATTTAGAGTTTCTCTTAAGAGCAGAAGTTCCTTTCCAAGTGGGAGTAGACCCACCAAGGAAATGCTGCTTCCCTGGCAGCCTGGTAATCTGCCTCTGGACAACAGGGGTAGTCTGTTCCCTCCTGTGCTCTCTGCTAAGTTTATAAACATTGAGGCACTGTTTCAGTCAGCCTTAGGGAGCCCGCATCTCCAAAGAAAGCTAAACCGTAAATGTTTCTGCTGGTTTTACATTTCACTGTTTTGTATAACTTCAGAGAGAACTGTTTATTTTCTATTTGTGACTCCTGATCTTGCAAAAGTTTTCCTTTATTCCATACCGGGCTTGAAATGGATCTTACAGCAGATTTCTGAATTTTAGACGCATTTGATTGAATTGATTCATATAATTAAAATACTCTTTTCACGTTAGTTTCTGATTCTAGTTTCCTTTTAACGCTGTGGAGCTCAAAAACTTGTGTAACAAGAAACACGTATTATTTAAAGGCTATCCCAGAAAACCTTCGGTATTTATAGTGTTATAAAAATGGACATCAATTCCCAGCTGGGCTTTATCCAAGTTTCATTATACAGATGGCTGTATATATTGCCTTTCAGATCCCTGTGGGAGAAGATTTATAATTTCTTTCCTCTTCCCCCTTTAATAACTTGTTTTAATAGTCATCATAATCAGGAAATTTTTTCTCCTGTCTGACTTAAATACACATATTAATTATATTTCTTTGCCATTTAACCTCAGTTAAGGTGGAAAGTAGGCAGTTATTATTACTCTTCATTCTCTTTATCTGTTGAAGGACAATGCTTTACCCATTGCACAAATCAGCGGTAGTAATAAAGTCACTTTCCCAGAGAAAAATACACATCTGTTCATTCTATGTAAGACAGACATTTATTTTATTTCGGAACCCAGATAATATTTAAAAAGTGATACTAGATAGAAAAGTATGTTGCAGGCTTTTACGTTTCTTGTGGCAAGGTCTTTATTTTTTTGTGTATTAGGATCTTTAGCAAAAACCATTTATTAACTGTAATCTGCCATTTAACACTGGGCAAGACACTAAGCTCGCAGCACCGCAGGTAGACGCAACGCACGCCTTGTTGGCCGCCTCATGGAGTTGCCCTGAAAATCAGAAGAAGGCATGCTCGCATAAGCACCATGTAAACTGTAAAGTGCTAAATAAATGCAAGCAGTTTCATTGCCAAATGCGATATAACAGACAAACGAACGTGGATTTCAGTGTCGAAGAACAACCCACAAACGTGGTGTGGATGAAAGGTTTAGGAATGATTTACTTGACTTGCATCCGTGTTTGGCCCCATTGCCTTCTTCCTGCCTGATGGGTAGAATCTGGTGTCCGGGAACTTTGTGGTAGCGCTGAGGAAGGGCAGGAATGACATTTCACGGATTAAAGAGTGGGAGGTGACTCAGTTGAAGGCCTGCCATAGGTAAAACTTCGACTGAGGGGCATCTTTTATCCTCATGAACATCGTCATGAACCCACTGATACCAATGATGAAGTTTTAGTTATAGTCATACCAGATTTCTCCTCTTATTTCATGTACATACACAGACAGTTAGAAATCTTGCATGTTTACCTCTTAGATTGCTATATTACATGTCATAAAGAGCTACTCCAAGTTGAGCTCAACAAATATGTTTGTGTGGCTTTATTTGAAAACTTATTTACTGGGTACTACATTGATAAAATGCATTCTACTAGCAATATGGCCCTGGCCAGATCCCTTAACATCCATTTCCTTACTAGCAAAATGCAAGTAAATAGTATCAGTTTTGCTATTGTCACTATGTTGTAAGAATCACAATAGCTTAGGAAAGCTTGCAGTCAACTCTGAAGTTCTGTGCAAATATAAGACATTGGTATTATTAATGACATCCTTCTCATTATTTTTACTACTCCCAGAAGGGGGTACACTGATAAATTATTATGTTTTTCCAGGGAGAGTCACGCCAGGGCAGCTCACATCCTATATTCAGCTCTTCAAGAACAACCCCAAAGCTCTAATGAATCACTGTGGGCTCCTACAGCTTGGGCTGGCCACAGCTCAAACTTTGAAACACCCGCAGAGTGCCAAGTGGGACAACTTTCTGGCTTTCGAAAGGCTCCTTCTCCAGGTATGTTAATTAATAAAGTTTTGATTTCCAAGGAAAAACTTTGATATTTATTGTAGTCTTCGTAATAAATCATATTGTTGACATGTGCCCTGCATAGTATTCTCTAAGTGCACCCAAGTTAAAAATCAAGTAGAAACTTTTCCACACCTGTTCTTAAAAATGTTTTGATAGTGACATCTTTGGCTTCTCACTCATTACTAAGTATGTTTTTTGAGCATTTTACTAATCTTTGAAAACCTCTTTACAATTTTATGCCATTTTGAGCTTTCTTGATCTTCATGGCACCTTTGTTTGGTCCTTGCTATTTTTCCTGTGAACTATCAGTATCAATTTTGTGTTTCTTCTGACACTACCTAGGCTCCAGTCCTTAAACAACATTCGACTTGTGCCTTAAAATGTTTGTTAAAGGATAAAAGGAGGCGAATTCCATTTGTAGTGTTTATGTAGTGATTTGTGTGTGTGGGATAGGAACTTTTCATAAATGATGAAATATTTTCATGGGAAACTTTTTTTTTTTT